AAAACAAGTAACACAGTGGCAATAAATACATACCTATCAATCATTACTTTAAATGTAAATGGACTAACTGCCAATCAAAAGACATACGAATGGATAAAAAAGCAAGACCCATCTATATGCTAAGTTCTACTCCCAAAACCAATATTACACTATATGTCAACTAACTAGAATTTAAATAAAAATTTGGAAGAATAAATAAATAAGTAAATAAATAAATAAAAAGGAAGGAAAAAAAAGTGAAGGAGTGTAAAAGCATTTATCATGCAAATAGAAGTGAAAAGGAAGCCAGGGTAGGAATACTTACATTGGACAAATTAGACTTTAAAACAAAGACTGTAACAAGAGACAAAGAAGGACACTACATAATCATAAAAGGAACAACCCAATAAGAAGGTGTAACAATCGTAAATATTTATGCACCTAACATGGGAGCACCCAAATACATACAGCAGCTAAAAACAAACAAAAAGGAAGTAATTGACAATAACAGAATAATAGTACAGGACTTTAACACCCCACTTACATCAATCAATTATCCAGACAGAAAATCAATTAAAAAAATCAGTAGCTTTGGGGCGTCTGGGTGGCTTAGTCGTTAAGCGTCTGCCTTCGGCTCAGGTCATGATCCCAGGTCCTGGAATCAATCAAGCCACGCATCGGGCTCCCCGCTCCACAGGAATCCTGCTTCTCCCTCTCCCACTCCCCTTGCTTGTGTTCCCTCTCTCACTGTGTCTCTCCCTGTCAAATAAATAAATAAAATCTTTAAAAAATAAAATAAAATAAAAAATAAAAAAACAGTAGCTTCGGACCAGGTGGATTTAACAAATATATTCAGAACATTCCATTATAAAACAGTGGGACACACATTCTTTTCAAGTGTACATGGAATATTCTCCAGAGTAGAATCAGATCTTGGGCCACAAAACCACTATTAATAAGTTCAAAAAGATTGAAGTCATACCATGCATCTTTTCTGACCACCACACTATGAAACTAGAAATCAACCACAAGAAAAACATCTGCAAAGGACACAAATACATGGAGGTTAAATAACATGCTACTAAACAATGAACGGGTCAACCAAGAAATAAGAGAGGAAATCAAAAAATATGTGGAGACAAATAAAAATGAAAACACAACAGTCCAAAATCTTTGGGATGCAATAAAAGCTATTCTAAGAGGGAACCTTACAGCAATCCAAACCAACCTCAAGAAGCAAGAAAAATCTCAAATAAACAACTGAACCTACACCTAAAGGAGCTAGAGAAAGAAGAACAAACAAAACCCCAAACCAGTAGAAGGAAGGAAATAAGATCAGAGCAGAAATAAATGAAATAGAAACTAAAAAAAAAAAAGAGAGAGAGAGAGATTGATGAAACCAGGAACTGGTTCTTTGAAAAGATCAACAAAATTGATAAACCTGTAAACAGACTCATCAGGAAAGGAGGAAGGAAGGAAGTCCACCAAGTAAACAAAACCAGAAATGAGAGAGGAGAAATAACAACTGATACCACAGAGATACAAAAGGATTATAAGAAAATATTACGAAAAATTACATATCAACAAATTGGACAACCTAGAAGAAATGAATAAATTCCTAGAAACATATAACCTGCCAAAACTGAATCAGGAATAAATAGAAAATTTGAACAGACAGATTACTAGCCATGAAATTGAATCAGCAATCAAAAAACTCCCAAGAAACAAAAGTCCAGGACCAGATAGCTTCACTGGTGAATTCTACCAAACATGTATTTATTTATTTATTGGAGGGGGTGGTTGGGGCAGAGGGAGAGAGAGACAGAGAATCTTAAGCAGGCTCTACCCCCAGTACAGAGCCTGACGCAGGGCTTGATCTCACAACCCTGAGATCATGACCTGAGCTGAAATCAAGAGTCTGACGCTTAACCTACTGAGGCACTCAGGAGCCCTTCTACCAAACATTTAAATAATTTTGTTCTTTAAAGAAAATTAAAGAATTCTATTCTTCTCAAACTATTCAAAAAAATTCAAGAGAAAGGAAACTTCCAAAATCATTCCATGAGGCCAGTATTACCCTGATACCAAAACCAGATAAAGACACTACAGAAAAAGAGAAGTACAGGCCAATATCTCTGATGAACATAGGTGTTAAAATCCTCACAAAATATTAGCAAATTGAATCCAACAATACATTAAAAAAAATCATTCGTTACCATCAGGTGGTATTTATTCTCAATATACAAGGGTGGTTCAATATTTGCAAATCAATCAATGTGATATATCACATCAACAAGAGAAAGAATAGGGGCACCTGGTTGGCTCAGTTGGTAGAGCATGTGACTCTTGATCTCAGGGTTGTAAGCTCAAGCCCTGCGTTTGGTGTAGAGATCACTTAAAAATAAAATCTAAAAAAAAAAAAAAAAGACAAGAGAAAGGATTTAAACAATATGATCATTTCAATAGATGCAGAAAAAGCATTTGACAACTACAATGTCCATTCCTGATAAAAATCCTTAACAAAGTAGGTTTAGAGGGAACATACCTCAACATAATAAAGGCCATTTATGAAAAACCCACAGCTAACATCATACTTAACGGTGAAAAACTGAGAGCTTTTTCCCTTGAGATCAGGAATAAGACAAGGATATCCACTCACCACTTTTTTTTTTTTTAATAGGCTCCATGCCCATCCTGGAGCCCAACATGGGGCTTGAATTCACAACCCTGAGATCAAGACTTGACTTGCAATTGAGAGTCAGACGCTTAATTGCCTGAGCCACCCAGGTGCCCCCACTCTACCACTTTTATTCAACATTGTACCAGAAGTCCTAGCCACAGCAATCAGACAAAAAAAAAGAAATAAAAGACATCCAAATTGGTAAGGAAGAGGTAAAATTTTCACTATTTGCAGATGACATGATATTATGTATAGAAAACCCTAAAGACTCCACCAAAAAACTACTAGAACTGTAACATCACAGGATACAAAATCAATATACAGAAATCCGTTGCATTTCCATACAGTAATAATGAAGTAGCAGAAAGAGAAATTAAGAAAACAATCCCATTTACAATTGCACCAAAATAATAAAATATCTAGGAATAAAGTTAATCAAGGAGGTAAAAGACCTATACTCTGAAAACTATAAAACACTGATGAAAGAAATTGAAGACAACACAAACAAATGGAAAGATATTCCATGCTCATTGATTGGAAGAACAAATATTATTAAAATGTCCATACTACCCAAAGCAATCTAAAAATTCAGTGCAATCCCTATCAAAATACTAACGGCATAGTTCACAGAACAAACAACACTAAAATTTGTAGGAACCACAAAAGATCCTGAATACCCAACGCAATCTTGAAAAAGAAGAACAAAACTGGAGGTATCACAATCCCAGATATCAAGATATACTACAAAGCTATAGTGATCAAAACAGTATGGTACTGGCACAAAAAGAGACACATAAAGCAATAGAACGGAATAGAGAGCCCAGGAAAAAAAACCATGATTATATGGTCAACTAATATTTGACAAAGGAGGCAAGAACATGCAATGGGAAAAAGACAGTCTCTTCAACAACTGATGTTGGGAAAACTGCTACTTGCAAAGAATGAAACTGGGCCACTTTCTTACACCATACACAAAAACAAACTCAAAATGAATTAAAGACCTAAATGTGAGACCTGAAACCATAAAATCCTAGCAGAGAGCACAGGATTTTGACACTGGCCATAGCAACATTTTTCTGGATATGTCTCCCGAGGCAAGGGAAACAAAAGCAAAAATAAACTATTGGGACTACATCAAAATAAAAAGTTTCTGTACAGTAAAGGAAACAATCAACAAAACTAAAAGACAACCCACTGAATGGGGGAAGATATTTGCAGATGACATATCCAATAAAGAGTTAGTATCCAGAATATATAAAGAACTTACACAACTCAACACCAAAAAAAACAAGTAATCCAACCAAAAAATGGGCAGAAGACATGAACAGACATTTCTCCAAGGAAGACATTTAGATGGCCATCAGATACATGAAAAGATGCCCAACACTGGTCATCAGGTAAATGCAAATCAAAACCACGAAGGGGCACCTGGGTGGCTCAGTCAGTTAAGTGTCTGCTTTCAGCTCAGGTCATGATCCCAAGGTCCTGGGATCGAGTCCCACATCAGGCTCCTTGCTCAGCGGGGAGCCTGCTTCTCCCTCTGCCTGCCGCTCCCCCTGCTTGTACTTGCGTGCTCTCTCTCTCTCTCTGGCGAATATATAGTGAAATATTAAAATGAAATGAAATAAATTAAAAAACAAAAAACAGAACCACAAACAACACAGGAAACAACAGATGTTGGTGAGGATGTGGAGAAAGGGGAAGCCTCTTAAACTGTTGGTGGGAATGCAAGCTGGTGCAGCCACTCTGGAAAACCGCATGGAGTTTCCTCAAAAAGTTAAAAATAGAACTACCCTATGATCCAATAATTCCACTACTGGGTATTTACCTAAAGAATACAGAAACACTAATTCAAAAAGATACATGCACCCCTACGATTATTGCAGCATTATTGTGAAATAAGTCAGTCAGAGAAAGATAAATAACATACAATTTCACTTTTATGTGTAATTAAGAAACAAAACAAATGAACAAAGGGGAGGAAAAAGAGACAAATCTAAAAAACAGGCTCTTAACTGTAGAGAACAGGTGGTCACCTGAGGGGACTAAGTGGAGGGATGGGTGAAAAAGGTGAAGAAAAGAGTACACTTGTGATGAGCACTGAGTAAAGCATAGTGTTGTTGAATCACTATATTGTACACCTGAAACTAATGTAACACTCTATTAATGATACTGGATACTGTATTTTTTTATAAAGATTTTATTTTTTGAGAGAGAGAGAGAGAGAGCACAAGCAGGGGGAGCAGGGGCAGAGGGAGAGGGAGAAGCAGACTCTCTGCTGAGCAGGGAGCCTGATGTGGGACTCGATCCCAGGACCCTGAGATCATAACCTGAGCCGAAGACTGATGCTTAACTAACTGAGCCACCCAGATGCCCGATACTGGATACTTTAAAGTTTAAAAAGAAAAGACTAGAAGAGCATGGATGCGCTCTGCTGAAAGGTTTGTGAGTCTCAAAATTTCTCCTCACATTTCATTTTCTAGAATCCAGTCACATGGTTCCATCTAGATGCAAGAACCGGGTGGAAGGATGTATTTTTTCCTAGGCAGTCAGAGTGCAATACCCTGGAAAGGAGAGAACCAATTTTTTAGTGGACAGTGAGCGATATCCCACAACTTAAACAGAAAAAATATAAATAATGTCAATGTGTGGCTCTCTCCTGTACCTTCCAAGCCTTTTCTCTAATGCTCTGTTTGGACTCACCAGAATGGGCAGATTTGTCAGGAAGCTGTCCTTGGACTTGAGACGAGGGACCTTCCTCACCTGATTCAGTTTGGGGAAAAAGGAAGGAACAGGCAGGGTCTCTTTAAATAACTGCTTCCTTCCCTGTTTTGGTAAAAATACTCTTCAGACTGAGTAATTACTAACTGCTGGCTTTTAGGGTGGTGGTTGTTTTTTAACAAAGAAATTGAAAAGCTGAACCACTCTACTCTTTGCTTCCCTGAGTGAGAGTAGGCAGAGAATGGATGGAAGAGAGTAGGAGCCTGGAACAAATGTTTATGCAGTGGGACACTTTGTCGCTAATTACGCTTCACTTGAATGACAGTACGTGGGAAGTGGGCAGTTAGCTCCCGCTAATGGCGTGCCATGGGACAGGTACTGCCTGATACAGAGACAGAGGCTGGAACAGCCACTCCAGGGGCCAATAAAACCAGTTTTATGGAAGAAGCCATCTTTGTTAAAAACCAAACCCAACCAAACGTGGAATTCTCCGACAGTAGATTCGGCACCAACCCCGCTCTTCTCAAATTTATTCAGCACAGAAGCCCCATGCACTCTCAGTCTAGAATGAACCAAGCAAATGAACTGTCCTGTGTGTGGAATGTGGACTTCTGTGATTTAGGATGATCAGCGTCTTACACAAACAGCTGATGATCTATTCAGCCCTAGGAACGCTGATCCAAATCAATCCACACAGATGAGGGTCTGGTTTATACAAAAAGGAGGGGGTTGCTCAGCATTCAAAATAATTCATTGTCTACTCTGAGTTGTTTCTTAACAATTAAGAAATTATTAAACCTAACTCATGGTGCATTTAAAATACAATGCAGTTCACCCTCACTTATCAAGGGTATAGCAATTATGTAAAGTGAGGCACCCTGTAACACTGCTAGGCCCTCAGCAAGTCCCTGGGCTCCAGGGCTCCGGGCAGCCCAGCTGTCACCGCCACAAACAGGTGGTGTAAGACAATAGCTCCACTGAGCCGCTCACTTTCCAAACCCTCTAGCAGCCAAGCTTCCAGCCAGAGAGGGCTTGCAAGCAGCGCAGGGAGGCCACCACTCACCTCCAGTCCACACCAGCACCCACGGCCCATGGAGCCACAGCTGCTCCTCCTGCTCCTAGGGTTCTGCTCAGGTGAGTGCCGGGGTCGCGGGGCTCTCCTGTGAGGCTGAAGCATGAGACGTCCCTGGACCTGTGTCTTGCTTCTGGGGATACAGAATGGCAGGGCTTCATCGGCCTGAGGCTCCTCTGTCAGTTTCTCACTCTTGTTGGCTTGATTCAGCTTGTGGATACAGATTTCTAGTTTGTGTTGTCCAGTGAAAATGGGAGCTGCCTGGTCAGAGGCTATAGAGTAGACAGGCAGGCCCCGCCCACCATCAGTGCCTAGGGTCGCCTCACCCGTCTGATCAGACTCAGCACCCCTGCTACCATCCAGGAGCGGCTTTCATCTTGGAGCAACTATAGGGACTCAGAGTGGCATCTTGTAATTGCAGACAATTTGGGTAACAAGTCCTTTTACTGCTCTGGGAGAATTCTGGTAATGAAGAGGACTGATTGACAGCTGCATGTGCTGGAGAGAAAAACCTATTAATAATCGTAACTAAACTCTTTCCATAAGAGATCAGATATTTGGTAATTTTTTTAACTTCTGCAGTTAAAAAAAAAAGCTCGTTTGAATGCACTTCTGCCCTACTGTTTCACTCTATGTAGGTTTGGGTTGGAATTGAAACTATAAAACCTTGCACAGCCCTTGACCTGCATTCCCCTCTGGAATGTGTCACCACACAGCAGCTGAAACGCTACCCTTAATCCCAAACTTCCGGTAGAGGGAAGTAGGAGATGTTTGCTGATTGCTTCATTTAAAAGTTTACTGGTGATATCATCTCACCTGAGAAACAAGACGGCTGACATTCTGTGATTTCTCTTCTCTAATATTGCTCTGACACACACACATACCTTCTGCGCAAAAAAAGGTAAAGAGCTTTATTATTAATGTTTTTCAAGAGCAGAGTTCAGGGAAATAGCCCAAACTCGGATAAAGTACAGCCTGTGGGATTTGGACTTGATCCAACTAAAACTGGCCTTTGTTGGTGTGGTGTGTGTGTGCACATATGTGTGTGCGTGTACATGTGTGCGTGCTCGCCTGCAGAGACTACACCCGATGAAAATTCTTAAGTGATATGCTTACACATAAAAATCCTTAAGCGATCTCTCTGGACACCAAAGACCTCGGGAAAATGCATGTTTACCTATCTAAAAAGGTATGTGATGTATATTTAGATCAAACCTAGAGTTTCCCTGTATCAATTCACATAGGGGCTCATAGAAATTTAGAGCTAGCTGAGGCAGTGCCACAACTTTAATTTGTTATTACAGGGAAACCGAGGCTGAAAGACATGAACTGACCTGCCCAGGGTCGCTTAGTTTACAAATGTTGGAATGTGATCCATTGGAGACTGTTTACGCTGCGCCTAGTCAGAAAACCCAGCCTGAAATTGCCAAAGGTAGCAAGAGATACAGCACCAGGTTGAGATAAGAATTACCCAAAGTAACTAGTAACATTTCAGAATTCCTTTCGCCCAGTCCAGTAGGCTGTTCCTCCATAAAAATGCAAATTGAACCAGTACGGTACAAAAAGAACACTTTGAAACTGTGGCTAGTTCAGTTCTTTGTGGCCAAAATTCTCATTCACATCAGGGCACTTTTTCTTATGTGAGCTTACCACATAATGATCTCTGTTCTAATTACGCAGCACCTTGGATTACAACCTCTTCCTCTCTTCCATCTCTGGAATCCTAAGTACTTCACTGCCATTTTTCTTATGGCATATTACTTTCCAACTTGTTCCTAGCTATTTATGTAAATGACACATGTCAGTCTCCATGAGGGTAGAAAGATAGGATTCGTATCAGATTCACCTATGAATATCTCAGAGCTCTTAAAGCAATGCTTTGCACACAGTAAGTGCTCAATAAATACTTGACGAATGAAGTAATGTGGACAGCATCTGAGTAAAGATTACCATATGATCTTGCTGAAAAGAAAGACTTTGACATTATTTATTTGTCTGTACGTTTATCAATTTACACCCTGTCTTTAAGAAAGTATTTACTGTGATTCATTGACTCCATGAAGAACTGGTCTGACTACCCAGACCACACTGGAGCTGGGAACAGAATCACAGAATTCTGACTTCAAGTCCTATGTGTTTTCTCTCTCTGCCTTGCTCTGGGGAGGAAAAAGGAAAACAACACCACCACCACCAATGAACCCAATCTGAGACATAGAGACCTCCACAGAAATTCCTTAGAAATGCATTATGGAAGGAACAGGGTCCCTTGTTATTTGTGAGACTGAGAGAGGAGGAAGCGAATGTCACTGGATTTCTGACAAGGCCTGTCTCCCCGGTCTTCCCCTTCTCCCCAGTGGACCATAGAGTTGGCCTGCATAGTTTTCCTGCTTCATAATGTGGACCATCTGCTCTATCTGATGCTTTCTAGTATGTTCTTCCTGTCAAAGGGGAATAAACAGTCACTTAAAAATAAGCAGCCCAGGCAGTGCCAAAGCAATAGCTTCAAACTCAGTGGCCAAGGCACTCGGTGGCCCATGCCATGGTCCTGCCCTCCCCCTGCCACCCGTGGGCCAGGAGGGGTCCAGGGTGGACAGGTGTGGAGGACAGAGGATTGCCATGTCCCAGGGGCTCAATGGGGTGACAGCAAAAACTGGGTCTTTGTACAACATGCAAACTTGAAGGGCGCTGAATGCAGGTGGCAGGTGGTTTGGGCGAGATGTTATGTGTAAGTGCCGAATGGATTCTTTTGGGCTCAGGAAGTTTGGGAAACTAGAAATGAGGTAGGCGAGGTCAGAGGTTCCATACCTAGAGTCCAGGAAGGTCATAATGCAGACATTTAAGCTATACTGAAAGCTTCAAAAATCCAAATGGAAATGATACATTTATCTTTAGGGAGGTAGTAAAGAGCACAGACCCTGGGGTCAGACTGCCTGCATTTTTAGTCCTACTTCCAACTGGCTGGGAACCACGAACACATGCCAAAACTGTCCAAATGTCAGTTTTCTCACTTGTAAACCAGGAGTAAAGACTTATCTCCTAGGATTATTGTAAGGATTCAATAATACAAATAAAGGGCCATCAGTGAAGCTCTACCAACAAAATACACATTTTTGTGAGGATGAAAATGTTTCAAGTCATTGCATAACACTGGTTATTTCAAGATGATCCAAAGTTCTGGATGTGAACTAGTGGTTGAGAGTATGGGCTGTGGGCTGACTCCACCATTTATGAAATCTGGACAACTCACTCAACCTCTCTAAGGTTCAATTTCCCCCTCTATAAAGCGAGGACAAGAACAGTACCTACCCCACCCAGTTATGAGGATTGAAAGAGTTAGTACATATAAAGCACATAGAAGATTGTCTGCACATAACAGCTGGATATGCTATTATTTTTATTAGTTATTAAAAATAGAAAAAGTAATTACTTTTTACTTATTTTGTTGACAAACTTTCAAACTGAAGATTCAAGGAGAAAAATAATAAAGAAAAATAGTAACGTGTCTTAGAGGCAATAGATTAACACTACTGGGGAAAAAAAGGAAAGCATCTCACTCATTCAGTTTTTAAAGTTGTCTTGGCCAAAGGAGAAGGTATGGTGGCTTCAGCAATAACCTGCGGAAAGGAGGGATCTGGTTACGTGCATTAGGGCAAGTGGATCTTGTGTCTGCTTCCTCTCCTAACCCTGAACAAGCAATCCTCAATCCACGTAAGGCTTAAGTTACAAAGTTATGAAGATCCTTCATAAGGCACTTGTTGGAATTGGGAATGCTTTTTCTCATTGGAACAATGCTAGGACAGTGGTGCAATTTCCAGGACAGCCCACGACACACTCATGGTATCTTGAGTTAGTGCGGGAACAGAGCGCAAAATGGCAAGGCTCGCTCCAAGCTCTGCCCTAGCCACAGAACCTTGGACAAGTCTTCCAGCCTCTCGGATCTCAGGTAAGAATGCCGGTCTGCCTGCCTCACCGGAGGCTGGTGAGCCCCGTGTAACACTGGACAGAAAAGGGCTGTGGGGTCCAAGAGTAGTAGATAATATTGCTCAGCATCCTGAAGGAAAATGTAGTAAAGATTCTCAGGAGTCACTCATGCTCCATAGTAGCCCCAAATCCAGGTCAGAAAAGCACATGATTTTTACTCTATGTCACTTAACAGGGACGTGTACTCACCAGCAGTGATTTTTTTTTTTTTAAATTACAGGAAAATACACATTACATAGAATTTGTCCTGGTAAAATACACATTACCTAAAATTGCCATTTTAAAGTGTATGATTCAGTGGCATTAAGTACATTCACAATGTTATACAACCATCACTGCTATCTAGTTCCAGAACATTTTCATCACCCCAAAAGGAAACCCTGTACCATATACCCATAAGCAGTTACTCCCCTTTCTCCCATTCCCTCAATCCCTAATCTGCTCTCTCTGCAGATTTACCTATTTTGAATATTTCACATAAGTGGAATCCTACAATATGTGCTCCTTTGTGTCTGATTTCTTTCACTTAGCATAATATTTTCAGGGTTCACCCACGTTGTAGCATAAATCAACACTTCCTTTTAATGGGTGAATAATATTCCACTGCATGGATATGCCACATTTTGTTCATCCATCTATCTGCTGATGGGCATTCGAGTTGTATATCGAGTTGCACTATACATAATACAGCTATTATGTATAGTGTTTCCACGAACACTGGTGTGCAAGGTTCTATGTGGACAGTCTTTCTGGGGATATGCCTAGGCATGGAATCACTAGGTCATATGGTCAACTCTGCATGTAACTTGTGTGCCAAACTGTCTCCCCGAGTGGCTGCACCATTCACATTCTCACCAGCAACATATGAGGGCTCCATAATCTCACCGATATTCACTGCTTTCAATTTTGTGAATTCTCGCCATCCTAGTGGGTAGGAACCGGCATCAATTTTTGGCTGTTCACAGCATTTTGAGATCCGAGGCCAGCCAACCTGAGATTTCATTACCCCATGCCAAGACCCTGAAATACGGAGATGGGTTTTTGTGTGGACGTTTCTTCTTGCATGTGTGCATCCAGTAAACCTGATTCCAGCCAGCGGCTGTATTAAGGAATGTCATCTGTTTAGAGCACAAGTGTCACAATAATCTGGCACACCCCACTGGGAAGGGACCACACCAGCAGCTGTGACTGGAAAGGAACTTAGGACCATAAAAGCTGCATTGGGAGCCCTTGAACAAGGGGGTCCGTGTGCCTTCCATTTGCTGGTCACGCCTCAGTGACTCATGTTAGTGTTGGTGGCGGCTGGGGAGCAGAATCTGAGTGTATGTGTCATTTGCTGTCCCAGCTGGCCTCGTCCTGGGCTCCGAACATGAGACCCGCCTGGTGGCAAAGCTATTTGAAGATTATAACAGTGTGGTGCGACCAGTGGAAGACCACCGCCAGGCTGTGGAGGTCACCGTGGGCCTGCAGCTGATCCAGCTCATCAACGTGGTGAGACAGTAGCACTTGGGGCTCCTGCACCCCTCACCCTGACCTCCCCTCCTTACCTCTGAAGATGCGGTCTTATCTTTTCTCAGGATGAAGTAAATCAGATTGTGACAACCAACGTGCGACTGAAACAGGTATGCAGCTCGATAAGTGCATTGATGTCGTTTGTATTCACCCTGGGATTGAACCTGGGCCCAGGGGGAATCAATTTGGGTAACAGGGATGCATACCAACATGATGCAAGTAAATATTTCGGTGTTGTGGGATTATGGATCATATTTGTTGGTGCGTGTGTGTGTGTGTGTGTTTTACTTAGTGCTTTGTTAGGCTACCACAAACAAACCACAGACAAACTTATTCTCTTGCAGTTCTTGAGGCCAAAAGTCCAAAATCAAGGTTATCAGCAGGACTGGCTCCTTCTGAGGGCTGTGAGGGGGAATCTGTTTCCAGGCCTTTCTTCTTTGCCT